TCCCAATAAATCTCCGTACCACTTCAGGTGTTCCATGAGCTGGCTGATCTCTTTGCCTTCCTCCTGTGCCCTTCATGCACCCAGAGCAAACACATGCCAGGAATACTATAGCGATGGATTTTCTCTGTGGCTGCTTGGAGGGACTGCTGTGCCCGGGCGGCTCATGCACACCTTAGGAGGGCACGAAGGAAGAAGAGAGGCACAGCCTTTAAATGTTATTCCATAGCACATGCAGGATTAATCAGAGGTAAGGAACCCTTTGGGGCTGATATTGGAAATAACTGAAAGCAAGTAAGAGAAGTCAGATGTTTCCTACTCTGGCATTGTGAAAACCTTGCACAAGCTTCAGGGTGCAACCTGACAGGTCTTTGCAGTTCTCTCTAAGTAGGATTTATCTAGATTTACTTCACTTACATCCAGAAGACAACATCTGTAGGATTTCACTGTTAGCCACCAAAGTTTCCTGCTTTCCTGGGCCTTTCACTACTTGTGCTTCAGAACTCATTGCTATCAGTAAAAGCGGTATTTCTTAGAATTAAAGAGTGCATCTGTTACGGATGCTCTCTCAATTACCTGATTGCATTGAGTTTCTCTTTGCTAAATAGCGTCTTGATTTCACAGAACTTTACAAAAGTTCTCAGCAAAGTAGATACACCTGGAAAAAGGAGCAGAAATAGTTGGAGCAGACCCAGCATGGAGGGTCTCCAGCTCACTGCTTTTTTCCCCCTCCTTTTCTGTGTTATACCCAGGATCTTTGTGAGGCTCTAAGGAGGTAATCACCAGATCAGTGTCATGTTAATTGTGTTTTCACCAGGCCATTTATATCTCTTGGGCTGCTTACACAAGGCACTATGAGCCACTTTTGCTTGGGGACACTCCTAAGTGAGCACCAGACAATGACCAGACTTGAAAAAACCTTGGCTTTGGTCTTCTCACAGGCCAAACACATAACATGACAGGAGAAGGCAGTAGAATGCAGCCCACAAAGATGCAAGGAGTGAGGCTGAATCTTGGTCTACTGTGTATGCAGACAAGCGTAGAGAAATTTATGTATTCCTGGGCATGAAACAACTGAAGCTTGGCCTGGAAGGTTAAACACTGTGTTGCAGACACCTGCCAGCCCCAGGGGAGATATATCTACACACAGACATGCATGGAAGCTTGGGCCATTGCTTGTGATGTGACTTTCCATGAATCCTCACAGACTCAGGTAGAAGCTTCCCATATTCCTGAAGCAAAACTCAACTGTTGAAACTGCTAAAATAGACACAAAAGAAAAAAAGAAAACAAACAAGTTTTTGATTGCTTTCCAGAGGTTTCCTGTGGGCCAAAAAGCAAGTTTTTGACTGATGCTCGCATGTGTGTTAGAAAGCACCCTGAAATTTTTCCTTACTTTGTCATCAGGCTGATGAGAAAAAAACTGATAAGTCAGCAATTGGTCCCAAGGCATGCTCTAAATCCAAAAAAAAGTCTCTTTCAAAAGGAACTGGTTTAATGAATTGAGAGAGCCTCTCATCTCTGATTTCATTAGATGACTTTATAAAGCACATAAGCACCTTTTTTTTGTGTAATTGAATTCATCTAAGCCATTCTTCTGCTCTCCAGAAATTGCAGAAACTGCTCCAAATCCAAAACACCTTCTATGCTTCTGTGATGCTCATGCTTTGATGTTCATAAGGAAGTGCAGCCTGTGCTGCTCTGTAACAGCAGCAGATCTGATCGCAGTGGGAGGCACCAGGGGGGCAATCCTGCTTCTCAATATCAGCAAATGGGAGCTGCTCACTCATGCAGCAGCTCCTCTGGATGACAGGCAATTCAGTGCTGCTAAAAGAAAACAAAAAGGTATGTAGTGCTTGCCTGCAGTCCCCGTGTGCTCAGAAGTGTCACTCATCCTGGTTTCAGACAGACAGTGCCAGCTATAAAATTGCTTATACCTCAGAGTATACTAGGTGGTCAGCAGGACTTTGCAAATTCTTTTTTCTTTGTCTCTGTAGGATTGCTAGGACCTGAACACTCCTGCAAGTTGAACTAACCTTATCTGTCACTACCAAGCTTGTTCCAGTGGGGACTCAGGACATCAGGATGGAAGAGAGGCTGCTGTCACACTGCTAGTGATGTACAGGAACAGCTCACCACAGGGCTGAGGTGGCATTGCATAGGTTTTTTAATTAACACTGAACTTGCTGGAGAGAATCGAGTTCCACTCTTCGAGGCAGAGAAACAGTGGTAGGTTTTTTTTGTTTGGCTAAGTGCAAATGGAACCACTTAAATCAGAATTTTAAAAGTGAGTTCTAGTATTAACAGTTTAGTCATGCTTCAGTAAAATGTAAAAAATAAAATAAAAAATTGTATCTTCCATTTTTAGTACCCAGGGAGTATTCATTACCATAGGAGTTAAAGACAGAAAATGTCTTTAGTGGAGCTAAAGACAGAAAAATAAAAAAAAGCAGTAGATTGATAGTCTAATTCACAAGGGTGTCCTCTTAAGACAGGATTTGGGGACATAAACACCAGGCTTATTCTCACAAACTTGCAAACCTGTGTATCCAATTTGTGGCTAAATGAAAAAATGCAGCTTGTGGGAATTTCAGAATAGCATATGCATAGTAGCATAAGGAAGGTAGAACTTGTCAAGGATGCAAAGGTCTCTGCCTACCTGGAATGGATCCACCTTTGGCCAGCCAAGTCCAGAATCTCCAAGGCTATGCAGGATTCATCTTAGAGATGGCAAACTTAACCAAATTCATTAACAGCAAGGTTTGGAGAATGAAACTGTAATCCAAACTTACCTTTCTCTCCTACTCAAACCTGTCCAGTCTTGGAAGCAGCTAATCACATCAGGCATCTTTCTGTTTGACCATAGGCACCTATATTTTCCATGGACTTCAACGGCAGCAGGCCAAGAAACAGTATTTCTTTCAAGTAAGACCTATGGCTTTGTTCTCATCTGCTTCTCTTTGGAAGAATACTAATTCAATAAATGTCCTGAAAAGTTTTTAAAGAGGCCTTGGGGTCGTTTTGGTGTAGAATATTACTAAGTCCATTTACATGTGCAAAAATTCTTCTGCTTGGAGAGAGGCCCAAGCCCACTGGAAATGACAGAATCTCGGTAATATCCGAGCTTTGGGACTTCAACAGTGCCAGTATGCCTGAAAGCCAACTCCTGCAGGCACAAGCTCAGCACAGACTACTTGTGTTACAGAACTGAAGGAAACAAATAATCATGTCCATTTATGCTATGAAAGACTGCAGTGCCTGAAAAACAGCAAGGCTAAGAACTAGTAAGAATCACAGAATCACAGAATATGCTGAGTTGGATGGGACCCACAACGATCATCGAGTCAGACTCCCATCCCTGCACAGCGCCATCCCCAAGAGTCACACCATTTGTTTTGTACTGCTTCTGGAAAGTTAAAGGATCATCCTTTAGTGGACTCCTGAGGTAGCTCTGGTGGTACATGTGACATTACATTCATAGCTTTTAAGTCTCTGGGGGCTTACACATGAACCCTCTGCTCAAGCATAAAGTTTCTTTTTCTAAGTATTAGCAGCAAGAATTTTTAGCACGTTTCTCCCACATCTCATTTTCTGGTGCAAACACATGTGGAAAGAGAACTTTTAGAATCAGGATCGGTATGTATGTGTTGGGGGGTGGTGGTGTTTGGTTTTGGCAGCAGCTACTGTGGTTAGCACACATTTGGATCAAACACAGCAGCAAAACGCTGAAAGCAATAGATGGGGGCTTTGTGTTTCAGCTTCTCCCAACGCAATCCTGGACCACAGCAATCTTGGCAGGGAAGCAATACTCCCTCCAGCTGCAGAAATGGCAAGCGTCATGGTTTTTCATGTTGTGCAGCGTTTGTTTTGTTTTTATTTCTGTTTTGTTACTTGAGAGACCCTTGGAAACAGCGGGTCCCGGCGGCGCGGCGCCCTCCGCCGCCCGAGCGCCCTCAGGGCCGCGCGATGCCCTCACTCCTCCTCTTGGCCGCGCAGGGCCCTCGCCCCTTCAGGGCCGCGCAGGGCCCTCATCCCCTCATGGCCGCCGGCCGCTCGCCACGTCCCGCAGCTCCGCGGGGAGTGCTGCCCGGGGGGGACGAGGATTCAGCTGTCTGGATCCAGCCCAAAAGATTGTTTTGTTTTCCGCTTTGTGTCTTTCCTGAGTTCAGCTTCCGGTTAACGGCAACTCGCGCACAGTTCCCCTCGTTCCTTGGGGCTCAATTCACAAAGGATTAACTTCAAGCCGTTGCCATGAGGAGCTGGCCGCACGCTGTTAGGCAGCTAGGCATATCCATTAATTACACAACAAATTTAACAAATGGAAAATAGTCAGCAAGGAGTTACTCAAGTGAGCTGGAAGGAAATGCCAAGAGTTATGTCCCAAGGCTCCTCTGCCCCCAACCCTGGGCACTGGCATCGTATTCCAGACTGGAGACATTACCTGGTTGCTCAGGAGTTCCAGCACCTCACCAGCCAAACAAAGCAGAGCTGCATTTGCAAACCAGGTTTGAAATAATTTCTTGCAGGCAAGAGCTGTAACTACAGTTCCACAGCATTGTATTCATGGGCCCTTCCTCTGGGTTCACCAGTTATTAATTATTCCACTGCAAAGTGGTAAAGCTCTCAAGGGGAGACCTGGGAGGCTTCTCATACATATCTCACTGAGCCCAGCAGCTGGACATTCACAGGATATAACAGACAAAGTTTGGACTGTGCTAATTCACATCATATAATTTAACAGCTGCTTCTAGTCCTGAATTACCTGGGCTTTTAATATTTTAAATTTTTAAAACCTTTTCCTCCTCCTGTAAATGTGTTGAGAGTGGTTAACAAGGAGAGGAACTAGAGGCTTGGTATGCTACAGGTTGAGGGCCAAAGAAATAAGAAAAAAAATTACATCACTGGACATCACTGCATAAGCATTAAATAGAGGATCTGTTAGCAAAAATAAAAACAACAACAAAAGAAAAAAAAACAAAAAAGAAAAACCAAAACAAAAAAAAGAGAGAGACCATGGAAATTTATTTACTTTTTATCTATGAACAGTATGACATATAATTATAGACAAGTTTTGATACACAGGAAAACCCTTTTGTCAACCATTTTTTTTGCTAAATGAAACAGCACAATAATCTTTACACATTCATATTTTGTTTATGTTTTTTTTTTCTTTACAATACACAGCTTTCTTGGGTTGAAGCAAACTGCAGGACGTATTGAGTACTGGTATATTACAGCTACTTACATCATTTAAGAACAGCAAATGGAGAAAAATAAGTTATTTAAATATTGATTTCATATACAGAAAGTGCAACTTTGTTAGTTGTTACATAACTTGCTTAACAGTTTTGATTCCCCAAAGGGTGTCAATTAATGCTAAAAGTATCTTGGACTGAAAGTATTATTTATTCTAAAAATAATACAGTACAACTGCACAGCTGTGACTTGGTGAATCGACCACTATTGCTGCTCTTAGACATGATGGCCTGTTTGCATAATGCAATGTTTAATGCTTCTGATCATGCTCCCAGTCTGCATCCACAGCCAGGCTCATAGAAGAGCACAGGGAATTGCCACCTGGGTAGCAACAGCAGGTTATTGATCAAAGCATATGATTATGATGGCATTTGGTAATATTTTGGGCTTGCTGCTTCTATTGTTAAATAGCTGTTTGGGTTACTAAGATACAATGGATAGATACTTAATATGGTGAGCCTGAGTAGAGCAGATTAAGATTCCAGCAGCAGGTTTCTTCTGTGCTTTCCAAGAGTTAATGAGTGAACTTTTGCTTAGAGCATTGAAGGTTGCAAGAAGATGCAAGAGGTTATGGCTCTCACAATGCACCACCTCAGCTGCTTGGGGAATGCCATAGGTCACTGAAACCACAGCAGGGAAGCTCAAACACTGAGAAGCTTAAGGCTTTTTTTTGATTAGAATATAAACTAAAATTGTAATTCAAGTAAGACTACAAAGCACAGTCTATAAAAGAAAACAAAACAAATATTAAAACTCATAAATCTCAAACTACTCACTCCAGTCCTGATGGGTGTGATTTGGTTTCCTTGGGTCACATAATCATTAAAAAAGAATGGATTTACAAAGAGAGTTTGGCAAAGAGTTTCAGCTTATTCCCATAATTCTCCTTCTGTTATTAAGAGAGGGGGGAGTGATTAATATGGGAGAGCTTTATTATATGACTTGTCTTCCCTGCAACACAAGGAAATTTGTTTCCTTTTTTTATTGCTATAGTCAGCATGGACTTTTCCCTCGCTGTAATATAACTGCTGTCCACTAACTTCTACTCTGTTCTGGTCCCTGCTAGCAATCCCAGGAAGTCTCAATACTCTTTCCATCTCCTGCTTACTGATAGTCACCATGTAAGACTCAGAGAAGAACAAGAGAAAAAAAATTATTAAAAAATCAATTAAAAAAAATCTTTTAGAATCATAAAATATACTGAGCTACAAAAGGGAACCCATCAAGTCCAACTTCTGGTCCTGCACAGCACCATCCCCAAGAGTCACACCATGTACCAGAGAGCATTGTCCAAACATCTTTTGAACTCAGACAGGCTTGGAGCAGTGACCACTTCCCTGGGGAGCCTGTTCCAGTGCCCAACCGTCCTCTGGATGAAGTACCTTTTCCTGATAGCCAACCTAAACCTCCCCTGACACAGCTTCAGGCCATTCCCTTGGGTCCTGTCCCTGGTCACCAGAGTGAAGAGATCAGTACCTGCCCCTCTGCTTCCTCTCATGAGGATGTGCAACGAGGTATCCCCTCAGTTTCCTCCAGGCTGAACAGACTCAGCTGCTTCTCACAAAGCTTCCCCTCCAGACCCTTCACCATCCTTGTGGCTCTCCTTTGGATGCTCCCCAATAGCGTAATGTAATTTTTATACTCTTGTGCCCAAAACTGCACATGGGACTTGAGGCAAGGCTGCACAGATTTTCACCAGCTGTCAAAACATGTGTCTGCTCTGTCTCTCCTGATTCTGTCATATGAGAACATGCTGCTTATCAGACACCAAGAAGAATATTAGAGCTTTGCTTGAGAACAACTTCAGGTTGCATCAGTGAATTAGTTGCCTTCATATGATGGCATGAGTAGACACTGGTGAAGTATGAAATGTGGGGAGTAAACCTAACAGCTATCAATTCTACCAGAAGGCAAATTAGTTATCATATGTAGTAAAATGCATCCACTTAAAACATGACTGTGAAGGGCCAGATATAGTAAAGAATCATGGAGTAACCACAATCTTTCATTCATCAATCTGACAGCATTTTATCATAAGTCATTAGCTCAGTATGAGCTGGGATATCCCAGTATGAGACTGGGATAATTGGAGCACCAAACAGTGAAGTGCCTTGTCTGGTTTTATACAGTAAATTGATGTCAGAACAGATACTGGAAACAACCACACATCCCTGTGTGCAGGTTTCTATTCTATCTCCCTTTAACTGCCAGACTAAGCTTACTCTGTCTTCCACAGAGCATTTGCCCTACAAGAAGCTGAAGGACACACCACATTTAGACCCCAAAGAAAAATCTGGTTATGTGCTATTCATGATCATTTGTATTTGGTATATAAAACATGTACCCAATATAGAAAAATAAAATCTGTCATTGGTCACATATGCGACTGGAACATTTCACATGGAGGCAGAAAAATATCATTGCGTCATGAGAAACGGTTCATCACATTTGCCAGAACAATGCTCTTTTCCAGCGAGAGGTAATATTAATGCAGTGGTGTGTTCTAAAAATCACAGTGTTATTCATAAGACTATCTGGGAATTTTCTTGTCCATGCCATGGAATTACTGGGTCTAATGATTTCTATGGGACACAATTTGCTTTTTCAATGCAAGTGAATTTTCATTTGCAGAAACCCACTGTTTGGAATCAATATGGTCAGGATACCAAGTCAAAGCTGCTGCATAATGATTGACAATATAACACAGTACACAGAATATGATTAAAATGAAAAGCAGTTACATATATACAAGGCAGTATATCTTGGAACAGTTTAGTAACAACAGTAAATGCAAACTGTAGTGAACAAGGAGTTAACCTGACAACTGAAACCTAGCATATCCCTGCATTTATAAAAGCACCTCTACAGTACAGGAGATGTTATGATGAGGCATTTTATAGAAGCTACTTCAGCTGGAAATCACCTTAAATGCAACTTAAGTGTGACAGGTTGAAACAAGGCTTGGAAAATGTGAAAACAGGTAAAGTGAACACTAGGTAACTGCTTAAAAGCTTATTTTAAGGCAAATAAAAAGCTGATTGCTAGAAAGCAGTTATAAAAATTATCTCAGCTCTGTACAAATAAAAAGAAGCTTTCTGACTCTCCGTGGGTTAGTTGCATTGAAGTGACAGAGATGGACCACACTGAAAACTAATTTCAGTCCATCAACTTCAGCCTAGCTAAAGGCTTCGTAGCAACTGGGACCTACATCAAGCAACAGCAAAGATGATTGGGGAGGGCTTTGTGTTTAGCTCTAGACTGCTGTAATAAACAAAAGACATTTGCCAAACAGCTTCTACTGGAATTTGCACCTTGATTTGTACCTGGTCTTTAGAACTGATTTCAGGTACCTGGAACCTAGATGTACAAAAGACCTGTTACTAGTATCACTATCACAAACTTGAGGAAAATGTGCAAGGGTCCCTTAATTCTGTGAACCTGTCTGATTCTTAGGCCAACCCTGTGCAGTTTATGAAATAGGAATACTTTAGATGGGAGTGAGGGGGGAGGGAAGTACCACATCTATGTTACCTGGTGGTTGCCTCTCTTCTCCTTCAGTGGCCAAATACTTTCATATCTTTTGAAGAAGATATCTGCCTGTCCTGGGGAGCCAATTCCTTGATCCCTTTAGCTATGTGAAGTGATTAGAGTGGTACTGGTGCAGGAAGAAGCAGTGGATTCTCGACCAGGCAATGTCACCCTATGGAGCATGTTAAATTGCCTCTGGATCAAGAGGTTTGAAGAGTCTTGCTGCTGCCAGGAGCTTGCTTATGTGCCTTTCCTCTGTGATGCCAGCTTTTTGAAGGCAAGTTTGTGACAGAGAAGGCACTTTGCTCAGTGTGTTGAATCCTGCTTCTGTGAGCAGGCTGGAATACATAGGCAGACCAATGGAAATCAGCCAGTCAGACACAGAGGTGATGAGTCCTGGGGATACCGGTTTACGGCAAATTTCTGTGAGTCCTCCACTTGGAATCTGGGGAGTGAAAAAAAAGAACAAAGAACCCTTAATGTTAAACACATCTGCTTGTTTTACAAGTCTTTTTTTTTTGTTTGTTTGTTTTCTCTTCCAAACTGGTAGAATTTCATAGCAGATGTTCTAACTTTTCTCATGTCACATTTGTCAGTATGAGAGTGGTGTGGGCTGAAAGGCTCAGATCCCTTGGCCAGGAACACTGACAACAATTTTGGCAATATAAGACGCAGTGGGCAGTATCCAGCTGCTTGGCTGACCTTCATGTACCATTCTGAATCAGTCTGAGATCAGTAAAGAATACCCAGTAATAAGACTTTTCAGAGTGATGCATTTAATTTCTCAGTAAGGCAAGAGAATACCAATTTTGTCTATTACCTCCTCAGACAGACAAGTTCTCTCAGAAGAAGTCATTAAAGTTTTTTGATGGTTTCTCCCTTCTGCTCTTGCTAAGGAGAAGTGAACACTAGAGCAGGTTAAAAAATGAAAAAGGAGTGTAAAGCCTTTCAAATTTTAATACAGAAGCATTTACTACATGCCATCGTTAGTGAGCAAGTCTTTGTTACCACTGCTTGCAGTCTGCTTAGACTTTTAAGATCATTATTTGGTCAAGAGAATGCTATCCACTTTCCTTTCAACTACTGACTATCCTCCTTTGGGACTGGGGGAGGTACCTCCTGCCCCAGCAGTACTTCTACCTATCTTGTACCTGCTGGATGAATATAAGGAGTACTTACTTCTCAAGTATCTCCCTTTGCTACCAGCCAGTCCTTTTAACAGTCTGCTCAGAAAGGAGAAAATCTGCTTTATGGAAATACTCACTGCCATGCGATGCTGCTTCCTCAGCTGCTTTACTCGGATTTGGTCCATGTTTGTAGCCACATCCTTTTCAGGCTGCTCTAAATCTTCAGAGTACCTCTGTACCAAAGCCTCAGGAATGCCACAGCGACCGTGCTGAATGTTCCCAGCCAGACACAAAGGAGAGAGGACAGATTAAAGAAGTGTAGCTATACAGACCAACCAATGCAACAGAAAGAGAAGTGTAGGATGGGAGCAAGAAGGAGCTTTCCTCAAGGTTCCAGGAAAACTAAAAAAGCAATCCCTAAAATATTCCTTCCTTCCCCCCCCTACAAAAAGATATACTAAATGATGCTATCAATTCAGAGTTTCTTGGAAACATAAAATCTAATCATTACTTCCTTTTTCAGCTCTATTCCCCCACATTAGCAGAGAAAGACACATTCCCATGTCCAGTGCCACCAAGGCACCAGTGGTCTGAAAAGATGATTTCTGAGTCCTACAACACAAGAACTACTTTAGTCATAAAGTCTGATAGCAAAGACAAACAAGAGCTGTAGAATGTCTAATGTCCCCATGATTGTTGGTTTATCTTGGCCAGTTACCCACAAAAAATGACAGATACAATGAATGACAGACTATCCCTTGGAATGCTAGCAGAATAAAACCACTGCAGTGATCACCACTTACCTTGTCTGAGTATGGTTCTTCAGTAAGATCGATGTCTTCAGACTGCAGCTTGTTTTCTATCACCATTTCCAGATCCATTCCTCTGCTGCATGAGACTTTCCTTGCTGATGCCGGACCAAGCTTTACCACATGCTGCTGAACACTAGCAGTCTCTGGGAGCTCCGACAGCCAGGGTGGCAGCGGGCTAGGAGGGCTACTGGGCTCCTGTTCAGAAGAGGTCCTGTGGACAGGTACTCCATGACAATCAATGGGAGTGGATGAGCTTGTCTTTTTTACTGGCAAACATGGTGCTTCTAAATTTGAGTGGTTTCCACTTGTGGTCGTGGGAGGATGATATAATCCATTAGAAAGGCGTTCTCGGCATTTTTTGGCAGGGACAGGTGGTGGCTGAGAGGGATTTTTTGGTTGCATTCTTGCCTCGTTTGTGCTTTTTTGCTCAGCTTCTAGACCTCCCTTAAGGACTGGAGCATAATCAGCCCGTGCAAGGTCATGAAAACCTTTACTCTGTATTTCCAGAGGTGTCCTTGTTGCATGATGCATCACTAAGGCAGGCTGAGCGTCACAGTTTTTCAGGGGGAATGGAGCAGGCTTTCCACCTGCAGTCTCCATTACAGAGCAGTTCAATTCCTTAGCTCTTCCCTTCTGAGAATTAGCAGCCCCTTTGCCTTGCTTAGCCATGACATCATCTATCTTACAGCTGCCTCCATGAGACTGAGGCAGCAAGGCAGAGCCAGTTGCCTTTTTAGCTGTATCCAGTGAATCCTGAGGAAAAGAACCTATTTTCTTGTTAGCGTCCTGTAAGTTGGTATTGGGTTCTCCCTGGAGATCATCCAGTGAGTGGGATCTTGGCCATGTATCTACACCCTGGGGGCCATCCAGAGTTTCATAGCTTCGACACACAGCTACTGGTAAACTTCTGCGGTTCTTCTTCAGAGCCATGATGGCTGGAGGCTTGACAGAGCTCTTCAGAGCACGATGTGCACAACCCAGCCGGCTCTCTTTTTCCCCTGGCTGCAGAGTTTCTATTGACTTGCTCAGTGGAAGAGTGGGATAATTTGATAGCTGGTTTCTGCTGAAATCCCTAAAGCTATGCTCAATTGCTGATTTAGAGGGTGGAAGACAGGTCCTTCGAGTTTTACCTAGGAACAAATAAATCCACCATTAAAAATAAAATCTGAAGCATAATAAGAGATCCCTGTCAAATGCTTCTGAAACAAAATTATTTATTCCCTTTTTTTTAATTCTAAGTGTAGAAGAACTCAATGCTATTCCAAGCATAGATTTGATTTGACCTTCAGCTTTATTAGTAACTGTTATCTGTAAAGTAAAATACATCCAAAATATTTAATATCCTTCCTACTCTCCAAATGGCAGAGATTTGAGGTTTAGCTCACATAAACCTTGTTCAGTGTAGAAGTACTGTGTCCTACAGTTAGAACTGATACCCTATGCTCATTGTACGAAGTGGTTTGACAGGCCCCCCCGAAATACCTCAAAAGATGTACATTTTTTTCTTTGTCTCTAATCTTAGTATATAAATAATGATGTTCATCTTTTAATAAAGTTTACTAGTTTACATAGGATTTTTTAAAAACACCCTGTTTATGATCTTTTTAATTATTTGCCAATATAGTTATTTCTTCTTTTAAATGAGCAGCAAACTATTCACAATGGCAAAACAGAGAGCAAGAAAGTGCATGAAGACTGGTTTTGCATCGGCCCCTTTGGAAGGCTATTTGCAGTGAAGGCAGAGTTTTACAGAAAACAGTAAAAACCAATGAAAACCAATGTCTCAAGCCAAGAGGGAAAGAGGTAGTAGTCAGAGCAAAGCACAAAGTCAAGTAGGAAGTAGCTTGTGTTAGCTAGGGACAGGAGCAAAAGTATACGAAGATATCTTCTAAAAAGAAAAGACTGCAGGAACTGTAAGGCTCATTGCTGTCACCATTACCATTCTCCAGGTTTTCACTGCTTTCATAGCAGCCAGAATCCCGAGGAGAGCATCCGCTTAGGCCTTGGCCTTCAATGAGAAGTTTCTCCTGAGATCCTGACTGGTCGCTGTTACCTAGAGGATGTGAGAACACAGTGAAAAACAGGCAAACAGAAAATGCAGCTGAACTTCTCAACCTTCCATTTCAAACCCCATTATCTTGTGCGTTCAGAGAAGAGCAACACAGCTGGTGAAGGGTCTGCAGCACAAGCCTTATGCGGAGTGGTTGAGGGAGATGAGGGTGTTGAGCATGGAGAAGAAGAGGCTCAGGGGAGATCTAAATGTCCTCTAGAATTGCACTGTTGTAGGTAGGTGGGGGTCAGCCTCTTCTGCCATGCAACAAACAATAGAACTAAAGGAAACGGCATCATGTTGTGCCAGGGGACGCTTAGTTTGTGAATTAAGAAAAATTTTTTCACTGAAAAGGTGGTCAGGTACTGGAACAGGTTGCCCAGGGCAGTGACTCAGTCACCATCTCTGGAGGTATTTCAAAGACATGTAGATGTGGCCCTTAGGGACAGGTTTAGTGGTGGACTCAAATGGACTTGGTGTATCTAAAGGTCTTTACCAACCTAAAGGATTCTATGATCTTTCCTATTGTATTATTTGTATCAGAAAAGAGTAGGAAAAGCTATCACAAATGTTGGAAACATTCACCCTGTTTGGTAAATTATCAATAAAAGCCTCAGCAAGGGTGTGAAGGAGCAGCATGGTACACAGTGAAAGCAGAATGGAATTCCTGTGCTCCTCAGGTGCCTTGGGGCCAAGTTCTGCAACTTACCACCACAGAAATTTATTTAAAATGCTTATGTCAAAGTCCTTTCTAAGACTTAAAAAAATCCTCCAACACCTAAAGCAGAACAAAAGAGCTGAAAAGAATCAAGTCAAGTGGAAAAAAATAAAAATCCTAACTCTTAATTACCTTCCCAGAAGACCTGGAGGAAGGATTGGGACTGAGTCTGGCAGACAGATAGAGAGATATTGTCCCCTAAGAAAGGATGAAGGGACATGAAGGAGACTAATGATGCCAATCCTTCCTTCCTTGGTCTATGTAAAAAGCCAACACTCAAGTGTAGTCCATCCAGCTTGCATACACTGGATTCCAGGAATTTACCCAGAATTTTGGTCAGGAATCATTTTTCATAAAGAAGCTAAATCTGGAGCTGAAGATACAGAAAACCAGTGTCATCATACAAGTACATAGTTTATGCTGTGGTAATTTTCCCTCTGCAATGAAATGTCAGAAATGGCTACTCCAATTCCTACTCTCAGCACATGACAGGTAATTATGGGGTAGAACTATGTGCTGTTGCCCCTCCCAGATTCCATCTGTCTGGTCTCCATTTCTCTTTCTCCTCATCATCCTGATTTGAAGCTGGAATTTGTACTTTCCAACCACCAAATCTTCAAGTTTGCAAACCAAAATTGAAGGGTCCTGAAGAAAATTATTACTGCAGGGAAGTTTAGCATTCGAAATAGGTCTGCAAATAATGAAGAGAAGCTCATCTGAGGTGACAAAAAGCTACTCTGATATAAGTGAAAAGAAACTAATTCTGTAACTGCAACTTTATTAGTAGCTAGAGGAAGGCAAGGAAAGAGTAGATTGCCTCTTTGGGAAATGAACAAGAAAACTACACAGGCCACACAGCACTGTCTAAAGATATTCACCACACATATTGCTGTAATTGAATTAAGCATTTCCCAATTAATAACAGCTGTTTAAATAGCTGCTATGGAAGTTTAAGCTAAAACATAGGAATTTGCACAGAAGCAGCTGCGAATGCCCTCACACAATCCATTCCACTGATTTTGCTTGGTGGATATCAACCTTCTGCTGACACTTGGGGATGAAGGGCAAATTCAGAACTGTCTTGGGTTGCTGCAGCTAGGCTCTGCTTACTCCTGTGCAGCAAAGACACCCTTGCATTTGACTGCCATGGCTTATTCCACTTTTCCTTGTCTTTGCAACCACTTGCCCAAGACCACGTGGTTCAGGGAGCAAAACTGCACTGTTGTACATAGATAGGTGGGTCACTGTTTTTCACTCCGCACTTGACTGATATATTTGCTCCCTTTGAAAATTGCTGTGTTGTCATATACACAACTGAAGCTACCTTTACAATCCTGCAGTTAACAGTCCAAGAACCAAAAGCATGTGATAAAATTAATTCACAATATACTTCCTCCACAGCCCTCTGGGCTTTGACTTTTTTAACTCTTGATAATCTTAATCTCTTCCCTCTAATCTGGAAATGTCTTCTTTCCTATTCTCTATGTCTCAACCTCCTACTTTAAGTAGGTAATCTCATGATTTATTCTTGAGCATCAGTATTCTAAAGTGTTATGTGTTTTACACTTGATATTAATTAAATAAGTTGGGTGGTAAGGCTTACATGAACAGAGTAATTCCAGCGGAACAACAGAAGTCTTACGTCATCCCTCAAAAATCTAACGTTACACAGGATTACCCTGGAAATAACTATATTAGGAAAAAAAAAGATCAAAATCCTGAAACAAGTTTTCTGGTTTAAGGGGTTCACAAGGTTCTTGGCAGAGCTCTAGTAAAACAGAAAATCTCAAACATCCCACGTACTATCATATTCCTGAAGAAGTTCCACTGCTGTGAGGAGAACAGCTCTGTGCTCAGGATCTCGGATGTTCAGTTCATCCAAATCTTCTTCTTCTAAAAGCTTAAAGGTATCCAGATCTTCATAACCATTGAACAGAAAAGTGGGCATGTGCTCCTGCACAAAGGGAAAAAAATGAATGGTAAGACAACATATTTATTCAACTTATTTTGTCAGTAAAGATACTAAAGGAGATTTTTGCAACCAGCAAGAAAAGCAGTAAGTTAAGTAAGTGCAAACCAATGCACAACAGCAAAATTATAGCATTGTAGTTTGCATAAGCACTGCTCTGAGTTCAGGGAGGTAGCTGTGCCAGAACTAGAACACTGCACATACTGTTGTGTTTGGAATGCAGTGCATTAGATGGCCTGGGTACCATGCTACCTGAAGGCACAACGTGTCATGGCTCTGTATGAGGGGACAAGTATGAAGGGAGAATGACAGCCACATCAATTTATCCCAAGCACTTCTGAATAGAAACATGGAAAAAATGTCCTCTGAAAAGACAGGAAAACTGTTGTTATTTTACACTTTTTGCTTGCCTCTGGAGTGTGCTAGCCTGTGGTCATACTGTGCAACAATTTCCAGTGTCTGACTGTACACAACTCACAGCCTGCAGCACTTCATCAAGCCTGACAGGCAGTTCTGCACTTCAGCTATTTTCATTCTGCAGCTAAGACCTGATTCTGCTAAGCAGTGTGACAATCCTTAGGATTATGAATCTGGTGTGTAGCTTCCAGAACTAACAACTTCAAAGGCGTGGTCCCCTTCCTGCCAGAAAAAGTGAAAGGGTAAGCAGAGACAGAGAGAATTTGGACCTTCAAATTGATGCGATCCAAGAGATCCTCAACTGACTTGGGCTGGGGTGGTCTGCTTTTTCGCCGTCTCCTGGTGGGCCGCTTCGGCTTCTCTTCCTCTTCATTTAGCACATCCACATAGATAAATTTGAAGGTGCCAACTTTGTTGTTCAACAGACCCATCCAAGTGCCCATGGGGGGCTTGCTGATTATATCAATGATGTCACCTTTCTGCAGACCAAAGAAGCAAGAAAGCCATTTAGCTTTCTGACAGGTATTTCAGCAAACGCACCCACTTGGATTTCTATGTACATGGGATGGACAACACACTTCAGTTTAAAAAGGTTAACCACAGCAATTGCAAAGATGTCTGATTAAACTTGTTTTACAAATGGAAGAAAAAGAAATTAGGTGATATGCCTCAGAGCAAGTCAACAAAAGATCCTGGAATGGACCCCAATGGTCCAGATTCACAAACCCACTGACATCTCTGTAGAGCATCAGTGCTGTTTGGTACAAAAGTCTCTATGCTTGCAACTACCTGAAATTGTGCAAAGAAGAACACAGTGTATATGAGCAGAATTTCAAATCAGATCTCCTGAGGAAAGGAAGCCAATGCAGAGGGAACTGATAAAGTTACTTTTCCTAATGTGCTCCTGACCATAACAAAGAAATGGACATGCAACTGCTTTTGCATGCCTCAAGAGATTACCTTACATACATCTGGTTTAACAGGGATTAGCTGCCCTTGGAATTTTAAGTAATGAATGTAAGGAGTAAGATAGTTTGAGTTGACTACAGCATAACTAAAAATAATCAGAGCTGATATCCAGAAAAATTAAAGGGTGGTGACCACTCAGTTAGCAAAGTATTTAAATATTAACTCAAAACAAGTTATATTGACTGGAATGCCTTTAAGAGACACTGTGTGCAGGTGCATGCACATTTCTTCCGAGAGTTCTGAAAATTTTTCCATTGAGGATTATTTCATTGTAGCAGACAGAGTACTTTTCCAATCTTTTAAGCAAAATCCTTTCAAAATGGAAATGAGTTCATGGCACATCTTTAATTTTCCAGAAACTAAAGACACAAGTTTCTTTCCATGGATGCAGAGAAACACTAGTAGTTACTTACAGTCTATAACATTTTGCTATAGTTCTGTGATTGCTATTTAAGGAAATCTTAAATGTCGAAGACAGGTTAAAGGCCTTCAAAAACAGATACGAATTCATTAAAAGATTAAGAATTCTATAGATTTTGTAAAAAGGTCTTAATTTAGAATTTTAGCAAAATAAATTTTTGATTCCTTAAAAACAGATGTAGCTGGTACCTTGAGCTTCAGAGAATCTGTATCATAAGGACTCGGAGTAAAATCAGTGTGAACCCTGGCTCTTCCACAGAAAGGTCCTCTGTAAGGAGGCTCTTCATCATCACCATCTTCTGATTTCACACTCTCCCTGTTGCTGGTTGAGGAATCTGTCGTACTAACTGTCTGACCACCTGTGTGAGGGACATTGTATCAGTTCACAAAAAAGTTTCTTTGTGAAGAAGCTTGACAAACAGACGAGACAGAAAATGGGTCTTCTTTCCACAAAACATGGTAATCAAAGTTAAAAGCCCTCAAATGCTGCTTTTTCTTATACACACGTGGATGGGAGAGTTAGCAAATCTACTCTGCACTCCTGCTTTCCTGAATTCACCCCCTCAATATTTAACAGAGAAGCTGTTCAACAAGCATCTCATCTATGGCACATCACAAGAGATTGATGACATATTTCTGGGAAGTTTTGCTCACAAAACGTTTGTGAGGAAAATATGCTCTGAAGCCTGCAAGAGGGTTCCAGAATCCCTCTCAAGTCCAGAAATTTGGTGAATAGTGTAGCAAGTTCACATCACGTGTGTTCCATTTAGGCTGTTTCCTGTAGAGACAGTCTAAACCAGAGAGGTTTTAAATACCACCCTTCCTTTAACTAGTTGATGAGAGAAACTCAAGGTTTCTCTCAACGGAGAGTGGAAGGCCCTTCTGGAGCCCTCAGGAGAAATCCGGTGGAAGATGAGCCTGTTTACTACTTAAACAGTAGTAAACAGGTTAATTATTACATTAATTTAATATTAGAATATTTATATTGTAATAGCAGGACCCAGCAGATAGAAAGCAGGATTTCATTTTTTCAGGGTTCTGTATAAACATAAAGCAAAGAAGCCCTGCCTTTGCACCAAAGAGCTTACAGTTCTTTGCAAACCCCTAATGACTAACCCTTCAGCCTTTCCACGTTTTAACCACTGTTTCTGCTTTGACCTTCTCTGATTCTCCTTACAGTGGAGATCTCTGCTCCCTGAAGCCACAGAAATGGAGCAACACAATTACAACTGAACTTACTCATTGAGCTCTGACCGCTTAAGGAACTCCTCAGGCTCTCCACCGAGCCGCCAGCTTTCAGCTTGGGTTTGTCCAGGGAGTCAGTGTCTGGTGGTGGCGACTGCGGGGAACCCGGCACGATCCCAGGGCTGGACTCCTGAAAGGGGTTGGACCATTAAAGTTTGATAAATGAACACAGGCACTGACGGGAGCTGCTTGTCCGCCGCCAAGGAAAAAGATTCTGTTTCCCTGCTCTTTATCAGACAGGCTGAAAACTTCTGTCTAACATTGTAAGTAGAAAAAAAACCTTACACAAAACTGTCAATTCAAGGGTTTTCATGACACAGTATATTTTGGACAGCAGTACTTGCAAAACAGCTAGTGCCAAATTCAGGTCTCTGAATCAGAATTTTGTACAAAGATTAACTCAAAAAAATCAGACAATTCAAGTAAGACATGAAGCAATGTTTTTGGGGGTTTTTTCAGCTTTTTTTTATATCATTGCTCATTTATCTATAAGAACAACAAAAAATTTGCTAGAAAATGCAGCCTGTGCATGATACAAATACTCATAAACATAAATGCATAAATATAAAAAAATTTTGCTACATGTAAATTCTGGTTGCTACAGTGTACAATAGTTGAGACAATTTCTCTTTTCATACAGTCAAACATTACTGAAAATCAAAAGGGTCTTTCCTAAACTGAAATTCTGTCAGCCTAAGTACAGTTAAAGCAAAGCAGCAGATATTTGTGGCCAGCATAGCTTTTGCTTGTTTAATGCATGCAAAAAGAGACACTGGAACATACTTTGAATCATGATGCCTGAAAGTTATAAGTATTCTAAACCAGCTGTGCCATAAAGTTTGAAAACAAAAAAACTGTAGCTTGCATACAAGAGTGTTTTGTGGAAATGTATGGCCATAAAGCTTTTAGATTAACACTATTATTTGCATGGTGCAGAATCATTAGGAAAATCTGATCCCAGCATTATGACTTCAGAGGTTAAGTCAATCTTAGAGTGACAGAGAGCAGAAGTATTGCTAAATCACTGTAAAGCAATTTCTCAAAGGATCCCTTTTCTTTGGCAGACTTTGCAGAGGCACACTGGAAAGTCAGTCAGACACCAAACCATCTTCTTACAAATATTAAATCATGTTATACCTTAAAATATTTTAAGTTTAAATTAAATAACCGTAAGTGTAGCACTGCCCCGGTTATGAATAAGCATGGCTAATAAACAGTTCTGCAGGAAATGGATTCTGTAGTCACAAAGCACTGGCCATATTGCTGCCTCTCTTGGTGCCCCTGGATTCTTCAGTTTGGGGTTGTTACTACGAATGGTATGAAGTGCTCCTTTTACAGGCACTAAGGCTTTGCATTAAGAGCAAAACTTCCATTCCCGATTTCCCACGACTGCGAGCATCCCCCGCGAGCAGTCCGAGCCCACTGGGGGGCGGTGTTAACCAGGAAGAGCTTTGCTTTCCCAGCGCCTCTCCAACCTATTCCTTACACAAGCCAAGTGGCGAGCCCGGTTTTAAACAAATGCCGAAGATTTTTGACACTCCACTAAAGGAAAAGGAAAAAAGACAGCAATTGTTTCTAGGCCACTGAAATTCAAAGTCTAATTTACAACTAATATACTACAGGTTCGCCTTTAAGAATAGACTATAAAAATCTGTAATGAAAGAATAATAGGAAAATCTTCTGACAGATGCCCCTTTCTGACTAGACTGGGCCTTTGTTTTAATGGGCTGCTGCACAGGGCATGGTATGATGGAGAAGAGACCTGTAATAGCAGAGAAAGGCAGTGTATATGTGAAGTTATGCTGGGAATTTAAACTAGGGAGTAAATTGCAGATTAAATATATTACTATGACCCTGTGTCACAGGCTGGTTCCCTAATAAATTGTTATAGAAAAGAAATGGAAATAGAGACTGAGGTGTGTAATGCCATCAATGACAGACTTCTGATGAGCTACTTAAATGAAAATCTGAAAATGCATTTTCCATGGTACTGGCATCTATAGGAAGCCATTTCACAGTGAGAGATTTTATAAGAACATAGGAATAAGTCACACCATATAATCTTGTTAGAAATTTCTTCAGAGATGCCTTGATGTGTGGGAATCAATATTGATTATCACTTCCACATTATTAAGTGGATTCCACTGCAGACCTTACATACCTGCTCAGACAAAGAGCTGCTGTATTTTTTTGACATCCTTTTCTTCATGGTTTCTTTTACAGACTTCACCTTTTTGCCCAGAGATATACGGGAGGCAGAGGGTGATTTGATCACTTCTTTATAAACAAAATCTCCTTCTTTGCCCTGCAAAATAAAACAGGGCCTAAGCCTTTAAAATAGAAGAGCCATTTTCTCCCTCAGCCATCAGTTAGTGCAGAGATGTCCAGGCAGACAGGACAGCAGCACACTGTCCTGTTGCCTGTTTCAAATTCACTGTTGAGACCTTCTGCAAACCACTGTAGCAGTCCACTGTTGCTTACTCTTAAGGCCTGATTTGTGACAGTATTGTGTGTGGATGTGCTGAGGACTGTTAGGATGCCTTTATCCTTTGAATTTCAGTAAGTATTTGATCTGATAGAAAACCCTACGTTTCAGGCTAAGCCTTTCTAACACAACAGTAGTTGTGGCTCATATTGTTCAATACTACAAAGAGTGTATTTAGTTTAGCAGGAATAAAGGTACCTCTGAGATATAGCCAAATATATATCTCTGTGTCTATGTATATATGAGGATATCTACATTTAGCTACCTAAATTTACTTTTTATTTTCAGACAGGCATTCTGCTAACCTCTGTGGTTTTACTGTTCACCCTAAAAAAAACCAACAAAAACCAAACACCACAAAAAAAAAAAGTACTAAATCTATCAACCATGGTAGGTTAAACTTGCACTGCTTTTTTAAGGCACACAACAGAGTACTGACAAACTAAATTAGCTGGTGCCTATATAGTGGACAAAGACTAGCTGCTTTGAATTCACTTAACCTTTTCTAAACCAGCTCAAGGTACTGAGCACTTACTTTGATCACAAGTGCACAGTTAACATGGATCAGCTGCCATTTTACTAAACTTGTATGATTCAGCCCTTGTTCAGATTGTCCAGGTAGGACATTAAACATGTTCTACTCTGTTTCAGCAACCACTGAGCAATGCAGCTCTATCAGATGTTTTCCAGCACCTTCCACTGGCAAGGGTACACCAAAAATCACAGCACAAAAAACGACCAAAGTCAATTGGGCCAGAGAGATTGACTATTGAGTTTGGTCTCTGATCTAGTTAAATTCCGCTACAAGAATTTAGCAAACCCTAAAATAAATGTACTATATTGTACATTAAAGATTTATCTTTTTTTCTACATTCATGTATGTTTTCTACTTCATCAATGTTCTTACAAGAAGTTTCTCTGAAATTAAACTTAAAAGTTGTTCATAATTACAACTTCCTTGGTGATTTTCATCTTTTACCATAAATTAGTGACAGCTTTTTGCTTAATATTTTGAAAAAAAGTTCTACCTAATGGATTTATATGTTTCCAAGAAAAAAAAAAAACCTGCTTTGATCTGCATGTATTGATCTAGTACACTGCATCTCTCCCACTACTGATGCTCCCAGGGATAAATCTAGACTTCACACTTTCTTACATTAAAATCAATCTGATCAAAACAAGTATCTATGTTTAAAGATAAACACTATTAGTTCAGAAGTTAATTTGTTTGCTGAGTTGAAAATTGATGACTAAAATAACCACCCACAGATTCAGCAAATTTAGGGGTAATTTATGATGTTAAAAAAAATAAGGCAACAAAAAACATGCCCAAAAACTTCAGCTGACATAAAAAATAATATAATTCTGGCAATACAAAATGGTTGAAAATTTAGACTTGATTTAAGTGGATAGGAAAGTTATCAAATCCAATTCTGAAACAGAAAAGAAAAGAATATATGGGCAAAAGGAGAAAATATGTTTGCAATTTCATTTGATATAATGTTCTGGCTCATTTCTGTTCTGTTATTTTTGGCCACAGGCCAACCAATAGTAACAGTGGGATCAACATGACTAACATAAAATGGAATTAATTCTCAGGGGAGATGTGGTATTTTTTTAAATACAAAAATGCTCTGAGATCAATTGCACAGCACCCAGTGCAATGGGATCCCAGTCTACTCCAGAGCTCTGAGATACAATGAGAAAACTAATAATGAACTTCTTACATAACGACTTCCATGCAAATAATTTGCAGATCTTCAGTGAAGTTAGCCTCATCATTCCAAATAGTAAATATTTTTACCAAGGAATTATAGCAAGCACATGTTTTGCCTTGGGTGATGCTCTGAGGAAGTCAGATATAAGAATAGCCACAGATGTGCCCTCAGATTTGTGCTTTGATCACTTGTTCCTACCTTTGAACATACTGTATATAAATACTTATACACATGTGGATATGGGCGGGTATGTTATTCTCAAAGCTAAGGAAGTTTGAGGTTAACAAAGATGCTCTGTTTTCTTGGATTACCAAACTATTATTACAGACCGAAATTACACTTCAGTCTATTATAACTCTACTGTGCATTTCATTTTATGCTATTTCAAGCCTGCACCTTCTCAAACTCACCATTTGGTCAGAACTGTTTCCAATATGAAGGGAACGATTTGTCAAGTCAAAGCCTCCAAAGCTACAGGTTCTCTGCAAGAAACCAAGGATAGATAGTTTTATCACCATAATTAGCTAACTTAGAACATCTGCAGTTTGGAGAACACCAATTGAAATACAAATGTCTGCAAAAATGGAAAGAAACAAACAAACAAAGGGATGAGAGATTATAAATCAGGAAATCTGTTGCAAGGCAGTATGAGTCTCTCTTTTCCAGAGACAACTCCTTGGCCTAAGGTCTGCTGCTGTTGAGTCATCTACTGCCTACTCCTCTTTTTAAAAAGAAAAAAGACTTTTTGGTCTGAGGAAACTGTTGATCTTATGCATCAAGTTTTCCAAGGGGCTGGCAACTCCATCTCTTCACTCCCATCTGCCTTCATAAGTAAGTCCACAGCAACGCTGAAACAGAGAACCACCAATCTTCTAAATCTTTTAAAGCACTGAATAACCTACCTTCTGAATAGCGGTATAGGCTGCATTTCCACTGAAATACAGGGAATCACTGGAAGCCTAGTAGGGTAAGCCCTTGGTAAGAGGAGGGAAAACCCAACTCAGCTATCCATAAGCATTGTGTCCCCAGAGACTCAGCTGATTCCAGATTAGTCACTTTCAGATTTTTTTTTAAGAGGTAACAAAACCTGACCAATGAACAACCAGCTGCACAGTACTCAAGTAACTGGCCTTGGCACAAGTCTCATGGGGCAATGCAGGGAAATGAAGGTATGGCCATTACAATAAACTTGCACAACTTCAGCTCTGGGCTCTGAGTGTGGCTTTGAAGACAGGCAGATGCCTGCTGTAAGAATTATTTTCAGAGTCAGAGCTGAGATAAACAGGAGGCAGAAAATCAACGCTTGTGAACTAAAAGTTCTTAGGGTCTGAACTACCCAACAGAGTAACTTCAAAGACCCTTTAAGAATCAATTAGGTATTGATTAGGTATTGGATCAGACCTACAAAGGATTGAGTCAGTGAAAACCCACCACCTGAGAAGTACCAGCTCACTTAATCTATTAGGAAGAAGCAAGCTGTATAAACTGTGACACTTAATAAACAATTATAAGAATTCATTCTTTTAAAGTAAACACTCTTTCTGTTCACCACTTAGAAGCTTTTAAAAGGTCTTAATAGCTTTTAAAAGGTTTTATTTATAGCTTCTTGCTGCTACACCCAGCAAACTTGGATGACAGTTTTTATACCTACTACAACTCTAGTGGAACTCCAAGCCAGCTTTGTCTAGGCTCCACACACATTAAAGAGAATGCTGTGATGTAGACTTTTTCTAAGTGTTTTTTTTTTTTTTTTCCAGAAGGCAATGCAACTATGGCATGGGTTTTAAAAATTGTTTTTAGAAAACATTAGAGACCAACCACAAGTAGTGAGATCAATTTCTAAAGCACAGCATGTTTAGCTAGGAGTAATTTGGTCCTTCTGTGAAGAACCATTATAACTAATCCTACAGCGTATGGTAATCCCATCAATGAAGAGAGGGCGTCTGGAACTGCTCTGAGCAACTTGTCTGTCAAACCAGCCAGAGCTCCTCCTAAAGAAGTCTTCTTGGAGAGCAAGACAACTGTTGGCTAAAAGCTTCTGAGTAAATGCACCTTATTAAGGATAATTGATGTTTCACTATGGACCTGCCCATACATGTAAAATTTAACTTCCATCTTCAGATTCCAGTAGGGACCCTGGCAATCCTGCAGCAAACAAAAGGTCTGTGGATGAGGAGAGGGATATTCAATGGAATGGCCATGCAATCAAAAGTATTATTCTTCTGGGAGAAAAGAAAAACTGATGCCATTTGAAAATTTCATGCATGTCCAGGCCACTGAAACAAATATAAATGACAAAAATGAATGGCAAGGCAAGACAGAGTGACCAGTTCCACTGAATACAGAGGCATTGCAGTTTCCCTGAGGTTGCAGCAAACAAACACTAAGCGTTTCTAGGAAGGAGCAGCATTAGTTGAAGCTTGTCAGCTATTTGCATTTTTAGGAAATGCACTGAAAAAGTTAGTAAGGGCAGCAGGTCTCCAACATTTACCTCATTCACACAAGGCTGGAGAAGCAGCTGACTGAGAAGTTCCTCAACAACAAAAAAGCACTGTCAATTTCTTTAACTGTATCTCTGTGATTAAGCAAAGGTCAGTGCAGATAGTTTTCATAATGAAATTATTATGGCGAGACAAGACTAACTTATTAGAAGAACCAAAGAGTTGTTTCTGTCATCTGTATTTACCAAGACAGTTTTAGAGGGTATTATTCATTATGGGGCATCTCTAGAACATCTCAAGTATTCTTTTTGGTTTAAGATAACCTTATTATTCAACCCACAGAAGGATGAGCAAGGTTTCTCCTAAAACTGCAATATCCTTACAGGAAAATAACATCATCTGAGTACAATGTCTGTAGCAATAGACAGTATCCAGCGACAGGCAGGGTAAGCAGTCAATGCAGAAGGAACAGTAAAGCTGCCAAGAGAGAATGTTCATGGTGTTGGATAGAAAAAACCTCCCTGTATTTTGTGGCCAAAGAGCAAAAAGTGAACCATGAGGACTTGGTCACCTCCCACAGGCTATTCAAGGAGACTACAGCTGTCACTCTTGTACCTTATATCAGAAGAAATTAAGCAGAGACATCTCAAAAAAAAAAAATCTGTTATTTAAGAGGAAAAGCTGTTTCTACTGTATTGTTCACTGGAATATCTTGCTTAATGTTATGGGTGCACTGCTGTTTCCATCCACTAAAGTAGGGAACGTTGTCAACTACACAACAGACTAGCTGGCTCAGCTTTGGAGATCTGGCACCAAAGGCAAGTTCCTAGGAAACTCAGAATCATGGTTAATGGAACTGTCAAAACTGGGTCATATACTCAAAAAGCAGCTTTGGATCCCTCTGGAGTGTTCAAATCACTTACACTTCTCCTGTAAGCACAATTTCCTCTTTTGGCCACCCCTTGATCCCTTTCTGTAATGCTCTGAGGGAAGGTACCACCTTCATTCCATGCTAGAAAGAAGAAGAAGCAGTGACAATTCTGGTGGTGGTGAGCAGCAAGCAGGAGGGCAGTGACTACCTAATGCCAAATTCTCTATCTTTCTGCAGTTGTGTACGTAAGGGAGAATACTGACTGGGCGAGTGAACAGATGAGATGCAATCTGAGAAGGGAAGGGCCAATTTAAGGCAATGACAGCTGAAGAGAAATAGAGCTCAGTTAAGTAACAATACTCTATTACTCTGAAAACCTTGTTCATCTCTTGCTACCTCTTGAAGAGAACACTGACTTCCAAAGCATCACAAAGAACATATTTGTAGCATCTCAAACCTTCTCTGTTCACTGGTGACCTCTACTTCTGCACTAGGTGAATTAAAGCAGAATTTTGTCATATTTGCTCGCTCTCACTGAGTTATTCTGTACACACAGAAATGGCAGACTCAACAAAACTCTTCTCTGACAAGATTTTATCAAGCTCTTCCCTTATACCTGCATTACAGTGCTTAAGAGTTTCTAATGGCAAAGAAAGCAGAAGCACTGAATTTTAGTTGAAAGTACAAAGCAGAAAGTGTTCACTGCAACCTCACAGAAACTGGAAGACCACCTTCATGGCAACTCTTTGACTCACAGACTTTTGGTGGATTCTCAAGAGAACCCTTTTAGTACAGCGATCCACTGTGGCAGCCCACTTCCTCTTGGCCTCCTCATCCTCCTCCAGCAGGCATCTCCTCAGGTCCTGCTTGTCGGCCTTGCTCAGGGTCCTGTCAGTAACGGGACGCACCAGCTGTGAGAGGTTGAGGTGACTGTACAGGCTTCTCTCCACCACATAGGTGATATTGAACTCGCTGACAGAGGTGCGCCCTCGTAGCCTTCTGTTTGGGAAGCCACAACCTCCACCCCCTTTCGTTTTGTGCCGCAGCAATTGCAGGTCGCAAGCTGTGGGGGATGCTCCTTTCCTAGCAGGGCGCTGGCAAAGAAAAGCTCTGGAACAGGAATAGTTAGTATCCATTTTCTTCAATCGGATCTGCTTCCTTACACTCTGAATCTCCTCCAGGGACACCAGAAGATGGTGCTTGTGCCTGTTGCTGTCATAAAAGCAAATGCTTTCTGTACTTACCCCATGGCTCAGTGAGCCGAGGCTCTTCTTCATTTCCCCATCTGTCAAGGAGCGGCAAACTTTCTGGGACTTCTCCTCTTCTGGGTAAGAGAAAAATGTCCCCAGTTTCTTGGGAGGCTTGATAAGACCACGGCTATCAGTTTTGCTGAAGGTCTTCACCAGCTTTCGGTTAGCTCCCCACGTATCAAGACTGCTGGATGAGGGAGAAGTAGTGAGTGAGTCCGAGTCGTCCTCTGGCTGCTTTTCGCAGGAGCTGTCAAAGTAGAATTGCTTCTTGTGAACTCCAGAGTAAAGTGCTGATCTGTCATCCAGTATAGGAGAGTTGTCAAGTGGGTGCTCTTCTACACCTGCAGGGGACAAAAGCAGCACAATGATTGTCATTGTTCATAATTCTCTAAGAGGTTTCCCTGTGGAGTCTTACTGTATTTATTCAAGATATCAACCACTTAAATTGGAAGAAAACTATTTTTGAAGTAAATTACTCAGAAGTTATTTTTGAGTGGATAAACTTGAAGCAGCTCCTTCCATTTGTAAAGTGAGAATGTGGGATTAGTTAATAGACAGAAGACAACATCCTGTAAGTAAACTCATCATTATTTTAAGTTTCTCTCTTTCATCTGCAGCTAAGACCACAGATGTTCCAACTAACAATCCCTTAAAAGCTGGAGCTGGGATCTGTCTCTCTTGTTTTTCTTCTGTTACTTGCATATGGTGCTCAGCTCTAGTGAGCTTACAAAAGGTCAGAAGTACACCCAGGTATTAAAACCCAAATAAGTAGCTCTCAGGTCCAGTTTTCCAATACCTAGTTCTCCTGTGGCTGCAGAAAGGAGTATTTTTCACAGAAAGTTATGGAGCTGAACTCCAGGATGAAATTTATTGTTCTGGGGTTTTGATGGGGGAAGAGACACCAGTTTTAATCACATAGAATTCATTTAGCAGATGCAAAAACAAAGAAGTAGGTCAAGCTGCAGATGTGCCAACTTCAACAGTGTCCTGGTAATGAAAGAAACACTTAGTTTTCACCAAATTTTTCCAGAAAATATTTCACAGGAATATTTTGCAACATAAGTACTGGACATGGGCAGATAGCCAGGTTTCCTTTTTGGAATGGAGAGAAGAAAATAAAGGACTTCAAACTGCAACTCCTTTTAACATTTATCATATAAGAAACTTTTCTCTGGTGTTTTCTTTTGAGCAAAGTATAGGCACAGGTTTTAGATGCAGTAACAAGGTTAGAGTAAAAAAAAGTACACATCCTCCTCTGTCTCCCTGACAAATTCCACAGCATTCCTAGCTTTGTATCAGACACACATAAACACACAAATGTAGCTGTAGTTATTTCTTGCCAAAATAAATGTCTTAATAACATAACTTTGCCTTCATCTTTGATTGCTTCCACAGTCTTACAGCAGAGTAAAATTTGAACTGTTACCAAAATACCTACAATTTACTAAACAGGCTCATTCAATAACAAGGGACACCTTTCACAGTGACAGATTAGCAGCCCTGTATAGGATTCCTGCCTCACCTTCAGTTCACTCTGTTGGCAAAACATTTCTAAAATATATTTGTTGAAACCTAAGATGCTATTTTACTATGATAAGGATCATCATGACATTGAAGAGATAGTGGATCACATCTGGCATGCAACTTTCACTCTTTAGAAATTTATTGGGGCAGGTCTATAGATTGGAGTCTTGTTTTGACACCACTTTCCCTGGACTGTCCAGCTTGTGCTTCTCCCCCTCTACATCTTAATTTGAACAGAAAATAGACTTTCTCCTGGGACTATGTACTGATAAACAATTTTAGTCCACTAAGTAAATATGTTTTTAAACAGCTTGTAAAATATGCATTGTGTGTCAACACTGTAACAGATGTTATTTGGAGTGAGTCCATGACACAAAGCCATAATGACACAGATTTAGATGTGATGCATTTTTAAGTGCTATATAAGAATGGTGCCCAGGAATTAGGAAGTTTCAGTTATTTGGCTCACTAAGGAGCAGATTAAGACAAAATACATATGGATTCAGATACTGGCAAATTCTAGTGAGTATCAGCTTGGCCAAATGTGCATTCATTGTGATAACACAATCAGCAACAGAAATGTGGGAGGAGAATCTGAGATTAGTGTACTTTTCTTTAAAATCTACAGGAGCTCATAAGGGAAATTCAGCAAAGTTGTTCTTTGTGAAGAAATTTTTGAGTAGGATTTTGCAGGATCTTTCTTCCAGGAAACTGTGTGTCAGTTTTCAAAATAAGTCTACTCTTATACTATACTAAAGTCTGTTGAACATTAATGAATTTGTTTAAATTTTAATGACGTTACTCATTCAAATATTATAGCCAACTCCCCAAAACCTAGTCACCTATGATTTCACATTACTTCATATGCATTACACAGATTCAACGAACCACAGCAAACAGCTCAAAAATCAATCCAGTCAACTGCAGGTAACTTAGAAGGCCAGACAGCAATCTCAAACCTGATCACCCTATTTTTTGTCATCTTGCATAGCCTGTCAAAGGGCTCTCTGACATATCTAATTGGGAATACAGACCTCTATTATGAGAGATTGGGTAAATTAAAAGCATTTTTAATTTACCGCATGAAAATTTGTGTGTTGAATTTCCTGACAGAAAAGTCACAGATATCTACTGCTAAGGCCTGGCTACTTAAGGTGCCTTCCAGTTATACAGAAGTTATAATACATATAATATATAATCCGTGTTGTTATTTAGCACTAATTGGTCCTGCTATCAAGTTTTTTAAGAGTAAATCTACAATGAAACTCCAGAATGATAGATAAGTACAAACTCAGAGTTACAGATAATTTAATCAGAGAAGCCTAGAGCTAGAGAAGACAGACAGCAGATGGGAAAAGAAGGAAGGAGAACAAACTTTTAAAAATACAGTTGCTAGTTCAATGCTTTTTCTGCAGGGGTAGGGGTGGAAAAACTCTAAGGAAATAAAAGCCCTGGAAGGAGTGGCACACTTAAGTGAAAGACTGAGGGTTGAGAAAGGAAATAAGGAGATGAAGCACTGTAAGAGAGGATACAGAGAGCAAGACAGATAAGTAACATGCTGAAGAAAAAGTCTGGTCCAACTGCAGCAAGGCATCTGTATGCCCAGCAGTCCCTGAGGTGCCTGCTCCTATGTCTGCTCACATCCCTGGAGCCTCCTCCTGATTGCTCCCTGCAGCTTTTCCCAGATCCCTGGGGAGAGAAGGAGGAGGTAGGACAGGCTTCTCTGAAGGCTATCTCTCCCCAGAGCAGTGGAAAACCAGTCCTATTTTGTTTGTCCCATCTCAAAATCCTCATCTTTGTTTCCAAGGTATCTGGGCTTTATGCTCACCATATGAAGTGATAAAACCTTTCCAGACAGAGACAGCTGCCCATTCCAGAGCTCTAGACAGGCTGTGCCTTCCACACTAGCCAGTAACACCAACCATAATGTAAGAGAGGCAGGCTAGGTCACAGATCTGCCAGCAGCTTCCTGCCACATACTCAAGATGCACGTGTTCTCCTTAAATGCACTAGGGAAGAATCATCATGCTGCTCAGCTCACTGCAGAGCTGAGGGGAATTGACATATGATGCCAGGAAGGCCACCAACATAGAGAGGTGCCCACAATTCCAGGGAGGACTCAAGCATAGCTGTGCAGAGAGGCTCCTGAGGATCAGGCTCCATTAATCTGAGTGCTCACACATGCATACAGGTCATCCGGAGTTAATTCTGCAGCATCGTGTTCCCAGGGCCTGAACTCTGCTTCCCTTTCCCCACCCTTCTCCTCCTCCCTTCTCTCCCCCTTTCTGTAGGGAGCAGGGCTCATTTAGATGCCAAATTGCAGACAGAAACCCCTGGAAGTAGAAGCCACAATGCAGCCTCTATCCCACAAGAATGTCTGATAGAGGTTCTGTATATTTGCCACAGGGTGATGCCATGTAGTTCAACTGCACCACCAGCCAGCTGCTGCCCTCCCAAAATAAGCAGGAGCTTCATCTGTGTGCCACCCAGGGCCTGGGAGGAGGGAGCAGTGTGGTAATAGCTCCACTTACCTCCTTGCTGAGCTTGTGGGGCAGCCGGCCGGGATTGCTCCCAGGCTCGTTCCCTCCCCAGCATGGGGCATAAAACAAGCCAACTTCTGATCTCTTAATGAGGGGCTCTCCAGTGCTGCTCTGAGAATACCATATCAGCAGAAACCACATTCTAGGCTGTCACTTTCCTCCTTCTAAAGCCTAAAAATTCACTAACTTAAGGCATGCACAATAGACAAGGCAGTTGTTCCTACCATTCCCTACTCCACCCCTCCCTCCCCCAACCCTCCACTTTCTGTCCTCTGTCAACAGAAACATGAATTCACACAAACAGTTTTAACCACATTGCTTTTTACCTTCTGTGCTGGGTTTTTTCATTTCTTCAACTCTTATGAGTTTCTTCCTGACTCTGCGAGTAGAATTCACCAGCTTGTGCAACCTCTTAAACTTCACCGACTCCTCTGTTTCATCATCGGATTGTTCTCTTGACTGGCAAAGAAACAAAGGGAATATTAATAAAGCAGCAGTTCCATGGCTTGCTCCTTCAAGTCAAGTTAACCCAGCTCATCTGCTGTGCTGAGTCAATGCAGCTCTGTAACTGGTGTTATATTTTCAGCTTGGGTCAGACAGAAACATTTAAATTACTGAGAGTTTTCTTTCTTTCTTTTTTTTTCTTTTTCTTTTTCTGAAAGCATGACATACCATTTTGATTTCTAAATCTGTTCAACGTAAGATCCTAGGCACCGAAATGCATTCCTGCCCTTGTCTTTCTTCATATGCATTGTGTAATAACTACTTCCACGTCCTCTTCCAGTATGTTTCAGGCAGGGCTCTTTTCCAGGGTTCTTCTTACCATACCAGTTATGCTCCCATGGTTTAGTCAGTCCCTGGTCTGTCTGGCATCTCAGAACTCACTATTTAAACCTGGTTATAAACAGCTTTTCCAAACTGAAGCTGTCACTGACGACTTCTCTTTTTTTCCCCCCCAGTATTCCCAGAAAATCAAAAACAGCAGCACAAGAAAGGGATGGGAAGGAAAGGAAGGAGGAGACCTCATCTGCCTCACTCACTGACTGCCACAGCTACAGAATCTTCCCTTTCTCCTCCCTGTTCCTTACACTCCTCCTTAAGGCTCTTGAGGCTCGAGTTAAGATGGACAGAGCATTCCTCCAGCACTGACCAAGGGAAAACTCTGACCTTTTCAGATATACAGTTCAGTCCATATTCCCCAGCATCCCGTTTCGTTTTGCATCTGATCCAGTATGTTCAGTTCCAGCTGTTTTCCCTCAAGTATCAAACATTACAGAGACAAAAAAAAATTCCCTTCTCTCCAGCAGCAGTGACACAACAAGCTGAAACAATCCATTCCTTGTGAACGAGAAGACAACTTCGATTTTCGAGCCAGATCCAATGTTCAACGTGCTACTTCCTCTGTTTTAATCAGTTCAGAATGTGGAAGGCGGCGGGGGGAAGGGCAGGGAAGGGAGAGGAGAGGAGGCCAGCAGGGCTCTCGGGCTTGGCCAGGACAGCCCTGGCATCCTGCGCCGCTGCACATTCCTGCGCATAGCACAGGCTCCAGCTGGAGTGCGGTATGGATCGTATACCTTACTTTGTTTGCACTCACAGTCCCAGGCAATTCACAGCATTCCTAATGGCCAGCTCTAAAAACCCTCATGCAACTTCCTGTCAGTGCAGCTATCTGGGTTTCCACAGTGTGCTCATCCTTTTTTCTCTTTCTCCTTAATTAAACTTTTAAAAATAAAGATCCCCAAGAGATGCAAGCCAAGTAAAAACAAACAAACAAAAAAGCCATTCCCTTCTCTTCCCAGCAAAAATTCTGTCTGCTTATCTGGAGGATGAATAAGAGAGGCCAAATATAAAAATGCTTTCTACTTTTGTAGTGCACTTAAATACCAGCATGAGGTACTGAACGCAGATGCCGTGGGGCAGGACACCAATTAGCAGCTGCACTGGAATGCTTCCAAAGGCACACGCAGTGCCTGACAGAGCCAGGGCAGTTCTGAAAGCCTACCTCCCAGGCATGCACCTCATAAGGGCCCCAGAACCACACCAGAGCAAACTTCAACAAATTTCTGCAAGGGCACTGTCCATTACCAGCTTCCCATGAACTTTGCATTACTCCAAAATAAGGAAGAATACCAAACTGACCACATATGGCAGTAGGAATTGTCAATACATCATCCAAGAATTGCACAAATGTGTTTACTGTGGTTACAGACTGGCTAGCTAATTAATAAACTTCCTTTGGGAAAAATAGGACTGTAAAGAGTACCCGGGTTGTTTACATGAAGTAAATTAAGCAACTCCATGAGCATTAATTCTGAGATTATGCCTAGGACAACTTAGTGATATGTCAAACAAGACAGACACATTTAGAGAAGATGATGAATGGATTATTGACTGTAATCAAGAAGTTCAGTCACAACTTCTTGGGCCATTAAGTGCATCCTGGCAAGAAACCATCATGCACATTCTGCACTCAATACATGTTTATATTAAATGCAATTATTCTAGGGGATTGCTTTCCATCATTACTTTTTGTACACCCTCAGTTTGCAAGATTACTGCTTTTGAAACTGTGAGCTCTGTAAGACTTTGAGAACAGCTCACACCTGATCCTCCCACCCAGGATTTCATTGAAGAATAAACAGCTAGTCCTGCTTTGCACCACTGATATCTATCTGATAAGGAACTGTGCCCCCTCAGGGTTATGAAGGTTCAACAACAGCAACAACAAAGAAAGAGCTTTTAAAACATCTGACACTTGCATTCACAAGTACCACAGCAAGAGCAAGTGTCAAAACAGCCTCAGCGCAAGGTACTGACATCAAACCCGAGTGGGTGGTATGGAGGGTGCTCACCATACTTCAAAATAAATAAAGTCCAATCACAATTAGGTGATTCTCCCCAGTGCTTCAGGACTCCTAGCACCCTTTAGAGCTGGGGTCTTCCACAAGCAGCAACAGATCCTTTCTATCCCTTGTGCTTCGCAGGTAGGTGAGAACAGGTCATGCTTTATGGATAGATAAAAGACAGTCTCCCTCCAGAATCCTACTTCCTATCATACCAGGTAGCATGTGACAGAGGAATCTTCTATAGTAAAAAAGGATCGACAATAAGTTTATGCAAAAAGGCCTAAAAATTGCAACTGCACCAGTGGTGCTGCTGGGGAAACCTTATTGTCAAATAATGCCAATTCCTTGAAAATGAATTAATTTTCAAAAGGGTTACTTCTTCACTTCCTGTTTTTGAATCAACTTTTAAAGAAAGGCCTTGGAATTATCAAAAGTTTCCACTTTGGCACATGGGAAACAGAGCTTAATTTTCCAGCTCAAGCAATGCTTTCTTTTTCAGCTAATATTAAAGAGAGAATGCTGTGGTGTGTTCTTAAGTTTGTCATTTTGCTCTCCTATTTTCTGTATTAAATGGTTTATTCCTTCCCTGTTGCCCACGTGCAAGAGAACAGAAATGTAAAGCATTCAGGCCATAACTGAGATATTTGGAAATCACTGAACTTCCCCAACACATTCTACCCTCCCCTCTTTCATGGTGACTGAACTGCTTTTTTTGGTAGCTTTCTCTGACTTCAGATGGGAAATTACCCCAGTGTCCCCAAAGCATGGTAGGCTGGGCAAATGGCTTCCTGGGCAGCTCTAGCAGCAAGGCCTTGGCAGAGGGCTTGGATGTAGCCAGTTGCCAGCCCCCTCTTGCTCTCTTCCCCTTCACAGGCACTCCAGCATGCTGCGGCCCTGCAGAAGGGTAGACATGGTCTGTTACGGAGGGGATGGGTCTGCAAGATGCTCAGCCACAGCCAGGCTCTCTGGCACTGGAGGAATCCATGCTGAGCCCTGTCCACCAACGCCTCCTGGCCCTGGCACATGGCTCTTCCACCAGGCCAAGCCTCGGTGTCCCTAATGTGCCGATAAAACAGCCAGAGCCCCTCCAGCTCCCTGTCCCCCCATGCACAGCCAAGGTACGCCTCTCCCTGTGCCCTCAAGGGGACAACAAACAGATTTGCAGCACTGCAAATAGGAACAACTTAACTTCCATCTCCTCTGCTCCAAATTTTTCCATCCGAAAGCCCATATGGCTCAACTTTTAATTACTTTGGCTAATGCTGTATGTAGTAATTCTGTGGTGAATGCTTAAGTGTTTCATTTCTGGTTTCCAGGGCAACATTACATCAGATTGCAGACAGCTGGCTCCACAGCCCTAAACCATAGCGAATTGGCCAAAGCCGAGGCACAGCGCTGCGCTGGTTGAAGGGAGCGCAGGGCTCGGCCGGGCTGCCGGGGACGCGGCGCAGCCCGCGGGGCCCCTTGGCGGGGCTGGCCGGGCGGAGCCGCCCTCCCCGCGCCTTGGAGCAAGTGCATCCCGCATCTGCGATGCTCTCACGGCGCGGAAACCCGCCAGCTCGCACAGCTTGGCTGCACGAACGAGCGAAGGACTGCAGGGAAACGGGGAATATATTAACAGCATCTGGAAATACCAAGAACTGCATGCAGAGGACTGCAGGCACCACGTACCACACGGCTGGAAAACTACAGAGAGGCCACGGCCCATACCCACTGCTCAGCCTTTCACTGCAAACAAATGTGGTCACAAACAATGAAGATGCTCTCAAATCCCCTCAGCCACCTCTCGCCTCCCTTCACCTTGGAAGACTCCCAACTTGTGCACCCCCAAAGGCCACGCTTTTCATCACCTCATATGTAAGATCAAAGTGAAGAGCTTTACGTTCAGGAACAAACAGGAAACTAGCACACATACTCTGGCATTCTAGGAGCTCTTACAGTTCTGCTCCTGGCACCCTTCTTACTTTCTCTCCTGCTTTCCTCACGCAGGCTCTTTGCTGCTGCTTGCTTGGGAGGCAGGACACATGCCTTGCTCTGCTGCTCTCTAGCAGCCAGCCCATTTCACACGCCACAGAAATAACAATCTTAACCTCCCTCTTCGAATTAGTGCTTCACAGAGAGAAAGGGAGAGTGAGAGAGAGAGAGAACTAACATTTATTAGTGTTCTTGGAATTAAATGGCAAAATGTAAACCAGAAGTAAGTAGTTGACTTTTGACAGGACTATGTTTGGAAACACTTCAGGGTTATAGCAGCAGCCCTTAAAAAACAGGCAAAGCTTGGTAGCCATGTCCCAATAAAAATGTGTAAGAAACACTAGGACAACATCCATTAAAGCTATCAAAACTGATTAATTTGCTTTAGCTCCAGAAAACACCTAAACATATATGACTTTTACATGAGCCATGTAAATCCATTTAGAGAGATGTTAAAATTTTACAGTTCACTTTATGACCAGTAATAATTCAGCCCCAAACTGAAATCTCTAGGAAACCTTCCATCTAAGAAAAAAGAAAATCTTTTAATACCTGCATAAACTTAAGCTGCAGTTCTTCTTCGCTATCAGACAATTCTTGTTCAGCAAAGTGGGGCAAAAATCCACATTTAGATTCATA